TCGGAAGAAGTAACAGCCCTACGTCTCGGAGCCCGGAGGCGGTCGAGTGGATTATGGATGTATGGATTACAAGGTGCCGAACCCTTCTGCCTGTGGAGGGGGGTGGCTTATATAGAGTGCGCCAGGACCCCAGCCAGCCCACGCAGGAGAGGGTTTAAGGTGAGTTAAGTCTGGGGCGTTACTGGTAACGCCCCACATAAAGTGCCTTTACTATCATAAAGTCTACTTAATTACAGGCCATTGCGGTGCAGAGTGCCTCTTGACCTCCTGGTGGTCGAGTGAGTCTCCGTGGCCGAGTCCTTCAGGCCAGTCGAGTGAGTCTTCGTTGGTCGAGTGAGTCCTCGTTGGTCGACTGGAAGGCGACCTCTTCTAGGGATGTCCTAGGGTGAGTTACTTGGAACAGGTCCGTGACCCTACCCTAGGTACATGACCCCATCACTGAATTTTTATGTTTTTAAGATTGAGTTATGAGAGAGCAGATGTTTGAATGACTAAATGAATTCATCTGTCTACCTCTGAATGAGTTGTTTTATCTACATATGTTGGTATGTGCACTTTGAACTGCTGTCGTATGTGCTCTCCAATAATTATTTTTGAACTGCTGCTGTATCTGAAGTTGAACTGTTTTGTGGTCAATGTTGTATGACTTGTATAATAACTATTTTTCTACCAGCTGGCTGCCCACCTGCCTATTTATTATTTTTATAATCTGTGAGTCTTCCTGGGTATAAATTCTATCCATCTATGTGTGGTGTCTGGCTCAGTCTCCCCCTCCTTTTTCTTTCTTCTTCCAGAATCAGATCTAGGTTCCTCCCTCTTCTCTCTATTGTTTTCTTCCCTTTTCCTATGTTTCCCATGGAGGATTGTTCATGCGGGTGTCTCGCAAAGATGGCACGCATAGCTGACGGCTGTGTGTACGAATCTAGTTTGGAGGTCAGTGAGAGTCAGCACCGTGGGCAACTTTTGTCGCTGTTGTACAACAACCATGGGTTTTGTGATCCCTATGTTTGTCGCCTGACGGTTGGGGACTTGGAGGAATCATGGGTATGTGTTTCTATTTTTTTGTTTTCTTCTTTTTAGGTTTCATTTTGAATCCCATGGACTGAATCTGTAGTTTAGTTTTATCAATATTTTGTGCATAATTTTTTTTGGTTTTGTCAGAAGTTAACAATAGGGATTTGTGTGTGTATTTGTTCATTATTTAACAATATTTATACTTTTTTGTATAATCCTTGTTCTATTTTTGCCAGATGTTTTACTGTAGGGGTATTGATATGTATATTTCTTCAGTTTAGTCAGGAAATATCACTAGTTAGTTTGGTGTTTTTGTTTTGGTTCGGATACTTTTTCACTTTGTTATGAAACAGTTGCTAGATCTGTGCAAATATTCAGTTATGTCAGGTGTTCACTTTATTTTCTACTATCATGCCTATTTGCAGAAAATGTCACCCGGAATCAGGATTGTTGCTCCTAGTTTGGGGATACTGAAGATGGAGACTTCAAACAAATACGGGTATCAATTGATGGAAGTTGCCTACCACATCGACTTTGATGGTTGCATCAACCTAACTACTGGGTGGAAGGAGTTTGTGGCAGAGTCTGGAATTGAGGATGGAGATGTGGTTATGGTTATGTTCTCCAGGGAAGGTGACTCTCTAACATTCAAAATTTATGTGATGTAGGTTTAAATGTGGCAAATGACGCTGGTTGTGAGATTTGTGTGCGTTTGATTATGTTGCAGTATTTTTTCTTAAAACAATGCATGTGAGATGGTTGAATTCTATGTTATTACCAGATGGTTTGGAACAATTTGTTTGTATGTTATTGTATGTGCTATTTTTTTAATGTAATGCTTCCTATTTTGGCTCACACACAACTGTTTTATTTTTTATATTTTTTATATTTGAATTGGAACAATTATAGTTGAACTAATGTGCATCCTTTGTTATTACTGGGATATTTTCATGTACATAGCTCGCACACGAAAAAGATATGTCGATGATGGATGTAGGACCCCTTGGGTTGAGTTTGTTGAACTTGCATGCTGTCAATGATAGTACTGAACTATTCTTGGATGTCAATGGCCAACCACATTCGTTTGTTGTAGAGCATTTTTTCTTACTATTGACAGGAATTTAGAGCACAATTTGTTTTTTTGTTAAATAGTGATAGTTCTAGTATTTTTTAAGTAAAAAGAATTTAATCTTGTTGCACAGTACTAAATAACTTGAACCTTTTGAATTTTAGTAGTTGAACTTTAAAAAAATTGTTTATGAAATTTTCATTACAATCTTCTACGTTGAAGTATCCTTTTATATAGTTACCTTTCAAAAAAAGTATTTTTTTGTTTATTTTTGTTTATTTTTTAGAACGAACATGTGTTTGAACTTTTCTACTTTCTTTTTTTGAATTGAATATTTTATGAGGGTTATTTTTAAATTATGTGCATTTGTCCCTTTTAATTTGGTTCGTGCGTGATCGGTAGAAATTTTGTATTGGGTCACACTGCTGTATTGGGCCGTCCCTCGGAGCCATTGTTTTCGGCCCAAATAGGTCGTCCGCGCGGTTGTGCGGTGCCGTGTGCGCGTGCGCTATGCGTTTAGTCCCACCTCGCTAAGCGAGGGGGCTCTTGACCTGTTTATAAGCGCTGCTGAGTCCTACTGGTCGAACTTCTCTGAATACTTACCTGGGCGCTTAAAAATGGTACTCGCTCTCTTTCATGACCTATGGGCCCTGGTCGGCTGGCCCTGCGTTGTGCCGATTACTAGGGATTCGCCAATGGTTTCACCATGGGCTCGAGTTCAAGTGTCTACCTGCGCTAGGACCTGCCTGTCTTCGGGCGGTCAATTTTTTTGGTTTTGAATCTAGTACTAGACTCCACCAGTAATGTGGACTGATACTTTTGTTGTAGTTCTTGTGAGTTTTCTCGAACTGTTCTTTTGTCACTGAGTTTTTGCCATCTTTTTTTGTTTTGTTGTTGTGATTATTCTCAAGGGTGTTCTGGTATTATTTTTAGCACTATAGTACTTGCGTGTAAACTAAGTTGTACTGAGAGTTCATTCATAGTAGCACTTCTGTGCTTAGTCTGACATTTTTTTGAGGGATCGTGAACTGATGCTTCTTTGTACTTTTTATATTAGTAAATCTGCACTGTCCGTTCAAGTGTACTATTACTGTCATTCTTAGTCTGCCAGTGACCAATATAAGTGTGTGCTGATGCTTCTTAACTTTTCGGTTGTAGTACTTGCTAATTTTCTAGCAGCTACATACGGATGAAAAACCAGCACCGCACCAAGAGGCATAGTTGTATCGACCCTTGTATGGACTTGCCCCCATTATCTATCTTTTTTGTTGTATGTAATTGCCCCCATTATCTATATTTTTAGGAGTAAAACCAACACTACACCAAGGGGCATAGTTGTACTAACACATCTTCCTTGTATGGACTTGCCCCCATTATCTATCTTAGGGGGTGTGGGTGTGTGGGGGTGGGAAATAGAATAACTGCACTCCGCCTATCAAACGAGCGCACTACCGCGTTAGTGCGAGGCCGAGCCGGAGGGGGGAGGGGGGAGGGACCCCTCCCCCCATCTCGCCGAGTCCGAGCCAGGAACGAGCCGTAGTAGGCGACTACGCGGCGTGTAGGGGTGTCGCATGCGGAGGCGAGTCCGTAACATGACTTGCTCCCACTATCTATCTTTTTTAGGGGGAAAGCCAACACCGCACCGAGGGGCATAGTTGTACTAACACATCTTCCTTGTATGGACTTGGCCCCATTATCTATCTTTTTAGGGGAAAAACCAGCACCGCACCTAGGGGCATAGTTGTACTGACACATCTTCATTATATGGACTTGCCCCCATTATCTATCTTAGGGGGTGTGAGTGCGTGGGGGTGGAAAACAGAATAACCACACTACGCCTGTCAAATGAGCACACTGCCGCGTTAGCTTGAGGCCGAGCAAGCAGGAGGGGGATCGGGACCCCCCCTCCCCCATCCCGGCGAGGCCGAGCCAGGAACGAGCCGTAGCAGGCAACGACGCGGCGTGCCGCGGCGTCACATGCGGAGGCGAGTCCGTAACATGACTTGCCCCCATTATCTATATTTTTAGGGGGAAAACTAGCACCGCATCGAGCGGCATAGTTGTACTGGCACATCTTCCTTGTATGGTCTTGCCCCAATTATCTATCTTTTTTAGGGAAAAACTAGCACGACACCATTATCTATCTTAGGGGGTGTGGGTGCGTGGGGGGTGGGAAACAGAATAACCGCACCGCGCCTATCAAACGAGCGCACTGCCGCATTAGTGTGAGGCGGAGCCGGGGGGAGGGGGTCGGGACTGATGCCTCTGTGCTTAGTCTGACATTTTTTTGAGGGATTGCGAACTAATGCTTCTTTGTACTTTTTATATTAGTAAATCTGTATTATCCGTTCAAGCGTACTGGTACTATCATTCTTAGTCTGCCAGTGACGAATATAAGTGTGTGCTGATGTTTCTTAACTTTTCGGTTGTAGTACTTGCTAATTTTCCAGCAGCTACATATGGATGAGAACAGTACATGAAGTACTAAGATTTTTTGCTTCAACTTTTGAACCGTTGTTAAGCAACTCAAATTGTACTGATTGTTTTCAATGTTATGTTTTCCATACAATGCTGAATCGAAACTACACATGGAACATCCTTGTGTGATTAGTTGCTTCATAACTAGTACTGAAGAGCAGCCACAAAGTTCCATTCACAAGCTACTTTGAATTTGAAATGATGCATAAAAAATACGAAGCCACCAAACTTATATAACGAGATAAGCAAACAATGTACTTGATGACATAGCAAACTTGTTCAACCATGACAAACACGACATAAGGAAACTGTTTTCAACCCTAACACACAAGACATAAGCAAACTGGTTTAAAAGGCAAGCACAAGCACAAGCAACACGAAGGCAGACTTTGATGCCTCTTCATCCCGTGTAGTGGCAGTGGTAGTAGGGGTCAGCTTCCTACTCTTTTGAAATTTCTAGACCTGTGGAGATGTTGTCGATTATCTTCCATGACTTGTAGGTGGCGTACACATCTATCGTTGTGTACTCGATGAGGTAATTTGGTAGCGGGCTGATCCCCCACAGATTATGGTCCTCCTTCCTACCGATCTTCTTCTTCATGTCTTTGTAAAATGGGTGGATGATGCTGGCTGCAACATCGGCCAAGGAGTCATACTCTTTTCTGGTGCATGGAACTCTCTAGTTCCGCTGAATGTCGATGTACTTGTTGGGGTTGATCTCGAAACCATACATCTTCAACTTCTCCTTGTCACCTTGAATGTTGAAACCAACAAAGGTGAACAACTTCTCATGCTTCAGCATATCGTTGAGGCTCTTAGGCCTGCAAGGGTAGAGACATATTGAAGATTAGTATTATTTTTTATGTTTGAATTCTTCAGTTTTTTTGTTTTATAAGTGATGAATCCATGAAGTATATGCTTATATAGTATAATTAATGGATGAATGTAGTTTAGAAACTAGTAAACAAAGTTCTAAAATTAAATTCAAGTACACCATGTTTTTTTATTTTTGGAATATACAGTTTGAGTCAATGATCTATGTGCTGCTTCAGTACCAGTTTAGTTTACTTTTGTTGAATAGAAAAACACATACCAGTGCTTCACCAACTTCTTAGTTTTTTTGCTGATGAAAATAACACCAGACCAAGTTCAGAAACTACTTCACTACATCAAGTTCTAAAACATCTTTTAATACATCGAGTGCAGAAACTACACTATTGGATCAAGATCAGAAACTACACTAGTACATCAAGTCCAGTGCATCAGGTTCAAAATATATTATAGTGCATCTACTTTGGGGAACTGCACTAGTGCATCCACTTTCACAAACTATAGTAGTACATCTAGTTGGGAAACAAGTTTAATGAAATTTTGAGGAAATAGTACTAATTAAACAGATGAACCAAGTATGGCAAATGAGTAGGATGGTTCACCATTTTGTGGCCGTTGCGACATGGTACACCAGGCAGAGTTCCTCCACACATAGTTGCATAACTGCTGATCTCTGCGGAGGTTCGTCTTCCCTGGTATACTCCACATGAACACCAACAAACCTAGGATACAAGCCGCCAGCCTTCCTCCAGAGCCTGCTGATCATCTCTTCGGCCTTGTCTGGTTTGCTGGTGCAGACGACCTCCAGCATCTCCTTGCCGTGGATCTCAACCCCTGTGAGGGTTCGGGTGTACTCGCGCTTCTCGCCGGGGACATGAACGTCGTCGAGGTTGCTGCTCTGGTCGGACGTCTCGCTGCACTGACGCTTGGCAGACAGTTCCTCCGCCATTGCCCTCCTACGACGACTGTGAGCTTCGAAGAGAGATGTTTCTGGGTTGTTTGTAGTGGAGATGGAAGCAGCAATGGTGGTTGAGGGAGTCCTGGACTAGGGGGTGTCCGGATAGCCGAACTATCATCATCGGCCGGACTCCAAGACTATGCAGATACAAGATTGAAGACTTCATCCCGTGTCCGGATGGGACTTTCCTTGGCGTGGAAGGAAAGCTTGGCGATAGGGATATGTAGATCTCCTACCATTGTAACCAACTCTGTGTAACCCTAGCCCTCTCCGGTGTCTATATAAACTGGATGGTTTTAGTCCATAGGACGAACAACAATCGGCTAGCTTCTAGGGTTTAGCCTCCTTGATCTCGTGGTAGATCTACTCTTGTAATACCCACATCATCAATATTAATCAAGCAGGACGTAGGGTTTTACCTCCATCAAGAGGGCCCGAACCTGGGTAAAACATCATGTCCCTTGTCTCCTGTTACCATCCGCCTAGACGCACAGTTCGGGACCCCCTACCCGAGATCCGCCGGTTTTGACACCGACATTGGTGCTTTCATTCAGAGTTCCTCTGTGCCGTCGCAATCAGGAAGGATGCCTCTTCCCGTCTTTAAAGACGGTACCATTGCCAAAGGAGCTTTGGCTGCCGGTCAAGCTATCCGACTAGGTGGTTTTCTTATGACCGCCTGTTCGGCCACCACTTCGACGATGACCTCTCGGGTCATCAAAAGCGATCTTCGCGTCAACTCGGAATTCACCGAGCAGCTGGATCCGATGGAGCTCTCTTCCATAAACGAGCTCTTGGATCGCATCGCCGCCCTGGGAGTCGCTATAGACTACGATCAGATTGGGCTTAAAACCAATCTGAGAGAAATTAACTCTCCCCAGGCTACCCACCACGTTGCTGTGGTAGAAGAACAACGCGGCGACTCTTCTTCTATGTTAAAAACCAGTTATGTCCGGATTCCCGATGCCTCCATGCCAGATTCCCGCGGAGGGACGGACGTCAATCGAGTACTGAACCTAAAGTCAGGCAGCGGACTAGATTCGTTGGACGACGTCCAGCAATCCAAGCTTCCAAATCCGGAAACTCCTCGGCCTTTGAGCCTCAGATTGGGCGGGGTTCCGAATTTAATTCCACCCACCCACCCAAACACAAGCGATCTATCTCAAATACGGCAAGATCCCGATGAAACAGTACATCATTACTGGGCCAGATTCCTCCTGGTTATGGACAGGATAAAGGACTGCCGTGAGGAAAGCACAATCTCTATTTTTTGCAACAATTGCACGGACAAGGGAATCATGAACGCCATAAGTCGTCGCGAAGTTACGCGCTTCGCCGACCTGGCGACCATAGTACGGAAATACTGTGCGATGGAGAGTGCCTGGAAAACTGAAACCAGATTTTGGGACAATCCGGCCCTGAACACAACCCTAGTCCGGAATAAAAGGGTGCACCATGCTCAAGCACCTGGGTCAAAAACCAAAAAGCAAAAACCCCCTAAAGGGTACGGAACCATACTGGAGGGATGGCTCAGCGGACCCTGCAAAATCCATAATACAGAGGGCGCCACTCCAACACATAGCCTTCGAGCATGTTGGATACTACAGCAGGTGGCCAAAAGTGGCGAAGGTCTTCTAGCCCCGGAGAACCAGCCCAACAGTACTAGTACGGTATTAACAGTCTTCGAGACTTTCACATCAAATAATATGCGGAAATGAACAATCCGCAGCCTCGCTGAAGTCTACCAAGTAGCAACAACAAATCCATGGAGCGACACGGCTATCACCTTCAATGCCAGCGACGAACCTAAATTCCGAACAGCCCGAGCACCAGCCGCATTGGTCCTCAGTCCAATAGTAGACGGCTTTCGTCTTACCAAGGTACTCATGGATGGCGGCAGCGGATTAAACCTCATCTACGAGGAAACCCTCCAAAAAATGGAAATAGACTGGAGCCGCATTGAGCGAAGCAGCACAACCTTTAGAGGAATAATCGCTAGTCGGGAAGTACGCTGCACAGGAAAAATCACACTAGATGTGGTGTTCGGCTCGCCGGACAACTACAGGTCCGAGGAAGTCACGTTCCAAGTGGCCCCGTTCAGCAGCGGATATCACGCTCTATTAGGGCGAGAGGCATTCACAATTTTCCAAGTTGTACCCCATTACGGGTACATGAAGCTTAAAATGCCCGGGCCCAATGGAATCATCACTCTGGTCAGTGATCCGGACATAGCACTCCGCGCTGAAAATAAGACAGCCGCACTAGCCCTAGAGGCACTATCCAAAGCCCTAGCGGCAGAGGAACTCACTGCACTGCGCTCCACAGTGAATAGGGATGATGTGATACTCGATAAGAGATCTAAGTCCACCTCTTTTAAACTAGCAGACGAAATAGTCAAATTCCAGGTCCATCCAACGGACCCCACAAAGACGGCCTCCATTGGGGCACAATTAAACCCTGATGTAGAAGCCGCACTACGAGAATTCCTTCGGGAAAATTGGGACATTTTTGCCTGGCACCCTTCAGATATGCCAGGAATCCCACACAAGCTGGCAGAGCACAGCCTAAATATCCTAAAAGGATTCAAGCCAGTCAAACAGGCTCTTCGACGATTTTCCGAACCCAAAAGACAAGCAATGGGAGAGGAGCTAGCCAAACTATTAGAAGCTGAATTCATCAGAGATATAAAACATCCGGACTGGCTAGCGAACCTGGTAATGGTACCAAAAAAGGACAAATCCTGGCGCCTTTGTGTCGATTTTAAAGACCTTAATAAGGCCTATCCAAAGGACCCTTTCCCCCTTCCCCGCATCGACCAAATCATCAATGCTACCGCGGGGCACGATTCATTGTGTTTCCTCGACGCATACTCCGGATACCATCAAATCAAGATGGCAGAAACAGACCAGGCCGCAACAGCATTCATTACTCCACACGGACCATTCTGCTTCAACACAATGCCCTTCGGACTCAAAAACGCCGGCGCAACATATCAACGCATGATTCAGACATGTCTGGCTACCCAGATCGGCAAAACAGTGAAGGCATACGTAGACAATGTGGTCGTTAAGACCAAACATGTCGAAACTCTAGTAGATGATTTGAGGCTCACATTCGACAACCTCCGAGCATATGACATTAAGCTCAACCCGGAAAAATGCGTTTTCGGCGTACCAGCCGGAAAGCTCTTGGGCTTCATTGTATCCGGTAGAGGAATTGAAGCAAACCCAGCCAAGATCCGAGCTCTGTCACAATTGGATATCCCAAAAGACCTCAAATAAATACAAAAACTGACTGGATGCGTGGCGGCTCTAAGCCGCTTCATCTCCCATTTGGGAGAAAAGGCATTGCCTCTCTACCGCCTCCTCCGGCGCACCGAACACTTCGAGTGGACGGATGCTGCCACGGCCGGACTCGAAGAAATAAAGGCCATATTAGCAAAAAATCCGGTCCTGGCCGCGCCCAACCTAGGCGAACCAATGTTATTATATATCGCGGCAACACATCAAGTTGTAAGCACAGTGCTCGTCGTCGAACGAGAAACAGAAGGACACAAATTCCCTCTTCAAAAACCAGTGTACTACATATCCACTGTCTTAACTCCATGCAAGTCCCGTTATCCACATTATCAAAAGATAGCGTACGCGGTGTTCATGGCATCCCGGAAACTGCGACACTACTTTCAAGAGTGCTCGATAACAGTGGCCTCCGAAGTACCTCTCAACGACATTATAAACAACCGTGACGCGACGGGCAGGATTGCAAAATGGGCCATTGAGCTCTTACCATTTGACATAATCTACAAACCAAGGCGAGCTATAAAGTCGCAAATTTTGGCTGACTTCATCGCCGAATGGACCGAAGCCGAACTCCCTAAAGAGTACGGCACATACTCCAATTGGATCATGCATTTCGACGGCTCCAAAATGTTGGCCGGCTTGGGGGCTGGCATCGTATTGATGTCCCCAACCGGAGACACAGTCCAATACGTACTTCAGATAATGTACATGGACTCCAACAATGCAGCCGAATATGAGGCCCTTCTACATGGTCTCCGGATGGCAATCTCCATGGGTATTCAATGCCTAGAGGTGTGCAGGGATTCAAACCTCGCAATATCCCAAGTAAATGGAGACTTTGACGCCAAGGATCCGAAAATGGCAGCCTATCGTAACGCCGTCTTAAAATTGTCAGCTCAGTTCGAAGGACTCGAATTCCACCATGTAGCCTGGGATAATAACCAGGTAGCCGACGTGTTGGCGCGCATTGGCGCAAAATGCGACGCCGTCCCTCCAAACATCTTCCTGGAGCGGCTCTTTAAGCCATCCGTATTATGGGAAGAGGAGTCCGAAAATAGCAACCCGGTACCAACCGCGCCACCCAACACGGAGCATTCTGACACAGTCGGTGGCTCAGCCAATGAAATAACACCCTCAGCCCACGAAATAATGGCAGTAATTGCCCCGTGGACGGAACCATTCCTAGCCTACTTAACTAGGCAGGAACTTCCCAAAGACCAAAATGAGGCCCGCTGCATAGTTCAGCGATCTAAAGCCTACAAGGTCCATGAGGGAGAACTTTATAAGAAAAGCACAACCGGAGTCCTTCAAAGGTGCATCTCCGAAGAGGAAGGGCGAAATCTCCTGGTTGAAATTCACGCCGGACTCGGCGGGCACCATGCTGCAGCTCAGGCCCTTGTAGGCAAGGCCTTCCGTACATGATTTTATTGGCCGACTGCCCGGGCAGATGCTCAGGACTTAGTCCAACGATGCGTCGGTTGCCAGCTCTTTGCTAATCAAAGCCACATGCCACCCACCGCCCTCAAAACTATACCCATCACCTGGCCGTTCGTGGTCTGGGGGCTTGATATGGTTGGAATCCTTAAAGGGGGAACCCACAAGCAAAAATACCTATTGGTCATGGTGGACAAATTCACCAAATGGATAGAGGCCAAGCCAGTTAAAACGGCAGAATCCGGACCCGTGATAGACTTC